GCCGAGGCGTTCAGATGTGTCAGCAAAGTTGATAGTTGTATGAGACTCTATAGTTGAGGAACATAAAAAAATATTCTTTATTGATCTTGATTGATCAAGTAGTTTTCCCCTTAATGCTGTGTTCATGTTTGTATTTGTTTGGAAAAAAAATGTTCCCTAAATGTTCTGATAGAAGTCTCTGTGGAGGATTTACTAGAACCTTGAATTGCTGTAGAACGACTGATCTAATAATGATTTCCACACAGAGGTGTTGTGTTACTGTGAGACACTGCAGGACAGTAGGTCTCTATTAAGTAGCTATGTATATCTTCACAATCTGTTTTTTTAATGGTTCAGTGGTACTGCCAGCAGATGCTGCCACGTCCACTTCTGTCTGCTCATCATACCCAGTGCTGGAATCATCATACCCTGGTGCTCTTTAGGCTCCAACAGAACTACGTTGAATATCATAATGATTTGTATTATATAAATAAATACTTAGTTATTGTCTTTCCCATTTTTTGTGATCAAATACATCCCCAAATGCATCAAGATGCATCAACAGAGACTTGTTGAAGCACTAAATTAGCATCTAATCAGTGGTTTGTGACACTTAAAATACAGTCTGAAGCTGTGGAAAGGGCCAGCTTGATGGTAGCTTTCTAAAGCTGGCTGAACGAGAGCTGCTACGCATCACCTGCACCTAAAAGACAAAGTCCTCTGTATGAAAATAACTCCTAAATACGGAGTGGGAAAAGACCAGGATGGTACCAGTCATGACACTTATTAACAATTAATAGCCAGCTATTATTCAATTGTTAAACCCTGTGTTGTCATCAGTAATGCACCAAAAATTCAGCCACCGAAAATTGGCCGATGGACATTTAACACCGAAACAAAACGGCTGAAACTCTCAATGGGGCAAGTGAAGGGAAAGGAGTTTAAACGCTGCACATCTATCTGAGTGCATTGGCACAAAATGTCATAGAGATCCAAACATCCCCACCACCATATAGGACAAGAATAGGAGATGAAAAAGGAAACTGACACCGAACAGTCCTTCTGTGCCGGACCTGTTTGAAAACACAAGTTTCCCAGTGATTCTAAAGGGAATAAGAAGAAAAATTTATATTTTGATACTTTTTTATTGATTTATTGAAATTCCTTGAGGTTTAAGAAAATAATGACATTAGAGTTAAAATGTATGGTTAGAACATATTGTAGCCAAAAATGCTATTGTTTTAATATTTGACATAATTTCTTTCAGCGTTTCGGTATTCGGCCTTTGTTTCCTATATTTTTATTTTCGATTTCGTTCAAGAATTTTCTTTTTGGTGCAGCCCTAGCTGTCATTATACAGAGTAGAATGGACAAAAAATATTCAGAAAAAATAATCTATTACAAAACTGCAACTTAAAGTAGAGTTTGTTCTTTAAACATGTTAACTCTGAGTAAATTCCAATAAAAAGTAATGTTATGGAGACTCATTGTTTGGATGCATTCTATCTTACAGCAGTAATAATGAGTGTTTCTTCTTGTTTTTAAATGAAATAAATTATTCATACCTGAATACTTTAGATTGTATTTTTACTGAACATTACGAATTGTATGCTGACCACCTACTTATAAATAATCCACATGACTGATCAGCAACAAACTTGATGGCTGAGTTTCCTCTGAATGTGACAACAGTCGATACCAATCTCCCTGAACTGCAATAAAGCCGTAAAAGCACAGTGTGACGTTATAATTCATATTTCTAACAGCACTAAATCTAAAAAGGCACATAGATGTGAGCTGGAAGTAGATGAAGTCACTCAGAGGCGGGATATTAACAGCAGGAGTGAGCTGGAAGGGTGAGCCATCCGTCTCTGGGATTCAGGTCATTAGTCTGTTTACTCAGAGCTGGCAGTCCATTTCCACTTGTCAAGTTGAACCAATATTTAATTAAAGCTGAACAAGAGGGCTGCTAATAGGGACAGACCTGCCCCCAGGCAGTTAAACTCCCACTGTGACCCTCTGCTTCCATCACTCTGTAAGCCTCTGAAACATAAACGGATGCTACCGTATAGAAGCACATTTCACAGTCAGGCTCTGATCCTGCTAAATAACTTTAGCTCAGTCAGATTGGATGGACAACATCTGTAAACCAAAATGTTCACATTTTAATTCTCGGTTGGATTTAGGCCTGGTTTTTGATTTTTCACTTATTTTCTGTATTTCCACATGGTTTCTGACATGCTATAAAAAAAATGTTCATATTGCCGGCCATTTTTTAACAAAAGGCCACATTTGCAGCATGCCCAACCTATAGTTTTCTCAAGAGATACAGATAGCTGTAGGGAGATGTTCAGGGGCTCGGAACATAACGTATTGAGCCAGGGTTAAACTTCCTCATAGCTTTATCCCTGGGAATGAGCTGTGCTTCCCCCCAGGAGAAGCTTGTGTCTGGGGAGAGGGAAGCTTGGGTATCTACTGAAACTGCTCCCTCTGCGAGCCAGTCACACTGAAGCAAAGAACTGCAGTACGATAACAAAGGGGGGAGATTAGTCACCGTGAAATACACCACATTTGCTTCCACTCCACTATAATGCTCTAATATAGTTTCTCCGTCACTTAAATCCCATTGAAATACCTGGTTTGTAACCCTAGTAAACATTTCAAGGTGCATAATTAGTTCTGCATAGAAAAATCCACTCACCTCATTATGAGGTTTCACTTTTTTCTTTTACCTGCAAGATGATTCACATCCTATGGAAACATGTTGATTAACGTGTTGTTTGGACAATTAATTTAATTAAAGATCCACATTTATAGATTCAGTCAAAACAGATGTAAAGACTTAATTTCCTGCTGTTTGTTTTAGTCAAGATGGCATCAAGAGTCACATCATCCTGCTAAGAGAGTCAACCAGAAAAGCCAATGTGCACCTAAACACAGCCTCCAGTATCAGCCGGTTTTGGCGGGTATCGCTTACCCAGTCCTAAGGAGGAGGGCTTCATACGTCTGTCGACATTTTTACACGCTGGGCCTCTAACTCCAAATAGTTGGCCATGGATGAGTCGGTCATCTCCTGTTGGGAGCGGAGTGTGGTTATCATTCAGATGGTGACAGAACACCGTCCATAGCTGTGCAAACACACTCAGGCCACCAGCTGAGAGTTAAATCGAGGGGAAAAACATAAGCTTACCAAGTCTGATTAAACATCCAGATGTGCAACAGTCGGCATAAAGGAGGCCTGTTCAAATGAAGGGCGTGTTGAAGAGGAGAGAAAGGAGTGTGCCCATAAACTAGCTGACTTGTTTTTCTTACAGCTAACTGCTGAACTGAACAGCCAGAGCTTTGGCTACAGCACTTCGGACTATGAAGTTTCAAGAAAAGTGCTGATCAGTCAGGAGCCATTGAAGTAACATCTGATTATCATTTGAGAGAGGAAAACTTCTTGCTTTGTTCGTTCATCCTGCACAAAAGTTGGCAGCACCGCTCTCATTTTTATGGCTGCTGAAAGCAGCTTGGTGCATTTGATTGAATCCAAGTACGTCTGCAGAAGGAATGTTCTCATTTGGCATCCTGTCTGAAAGTTGGAGGTCAATAAAAAGTTTCCTAGATGGTTATTCGTAATGCCGTTTGATCCAAGTGAATTGTTTAAACATCAAAACGCAATCACTATTCATTCCTAGTTCATTTATTTTTATTTTTGATTTATCTGCAAATAAAACAGTAAAATAAAGCTGCTGCAACAGACACATTAATGGAAAAGAGGGCTGGATTGATTCTAATTCATTTATAGCAACGTGTGAAAAATGTTGACGTATAAATGTTGAGCTGTATTTAATCATTCAAAGGGGTTTAAAAGGAATCTGGCTTTCTGAAAATCCTCCTGCTACTCTCTTGATTTTACAGTCTTTGTCTTTAGGAATTGACGCTTTTGTTTTGTCATTCGACCAACATAGATTCGAGGCACTAAGAATCACCCTATTCACTAGGAAACCTTTGAATTGGGTTTAGAAAAACAAAAAGAAACAGACAGCACAGATGGTATGAAGCTCTTTTATTTAATACAGCTTTAAGCAAAGTAAACATTTCTGTATAAAAATTCATAAAGGAATTCTACAGCAGGATAATATATAACTTATTGACTATATAAATTAATTTTAAAGATCTGTCAGAACAGATTGAGTTCCTGGTTTATAGAAACATAGAAATTGTTGCCCCACTAACAGGATCCAAATGGTCTCCCAGTCTGAGCCAATGTGCTACCTAACCATGGGAAGGATAGTGAACATCTCCTTAAACACGATAAACATAAACAATGTTGTTGTCAAAGATTCTGCTGGTTTATGTTAATAGAAAGTTGAGTTTGACGAGATATTTTGTGTTTATATGTCTTGAGGTTTTATTACACTCCTTCTAGAGACTCGTTCAAGTATTTTTCTGGCTCAGACTCCCCTCTTCTTCAGTCTCATTTTTAGCCTCTCTTTATGATACATGAGCCAGATGCTCAGCCACCACTGACAACTGGACTGAGATAGAAACCATATGGGATATGTAAGCTTGGATTAACTGCACTGAGTCAGAAATGTTTAGGTTATGTTTATGTAGCTTCCATGTGGCTGTCATCAGAGAGGGAGCAGGGAGTGAAAAGTTTGTACAGTGAGAACAGAAACATTTAGATTTATTCATAAAGGAGGCATTCAGGGAGACGGACACAGGAAGAGAGGATGAGCCGTTATGCTGCAGTGAAGAGTCACCCCGAGGCGAGGTAGAGAGGAAATGTTTTATTTCCTCTCTCTGGGAGCTTTTAGAGCTGGCAGATGAGCCCATGACCTTTTTCCTTCACAGACAATGATTCCGTTTTTATTTTCCCTGTTGCAACCTAATTCCCTTTAGGACACAGATTGTGTCTGCAGTGCATACACTATATGCATTTTAACACCTATAACAGACGTAGCGGTCAGCCCCATCATGGTAACTCAAACCAGATTCCTACTGAATCCTTTCTTTGTGTTTTTTTTCCTCAGGTGAGTCTGGTCTCGGTAAATCCACTCTCATCAACTCTCTGTTCCTGACTGACCTGTACTCCAAGGATTACCCTGGACCGTCGCAGCGCATAAAGAAGACTGTACAGGTGAGCTCCATCTGCTCTTCTAGCTGTAATTCAGTTTCACTGCTGATTAAAAATCTCCTGATAAGTTGGTTGGGCCAATACTTTGCAGATGTCATTAGTTACCTAAATCCTATGACCTCATCCTGCCAATGTCACAGTTATTCCAAATTTTGACACATCCCAATAGTTTGAGCAGATTAAAAACGTAATCTCTTGTTACTTTTTGTGGTCTTGCTTGGATATATACTATTATCTGCTAATGTTTGTTGATAACTTCTCAGTCTAAAGAAGCAAATTCACCTCTAAGGTTATTTTAACAGATTTTATTTTAGATATTAAGATTTGTTTCAAAATCATTTTTTTATAAAACAGTCAAATTCCTTGTTACTCCTATTCATATTATTATTTTTTTAGAGTAGATATTTTAATCTTTCTTGGTCTTATGACTAGAGGGATGACCGGTAAAAAAATTTTAAGGCCGATGCCAATTATTTTGACATCATTCTAAGTGAACCTAATGCTGACTCTTTTTGGCCGATTCTTGAAGCCTATATTGCTTTTTTCTTCCTCCAATCAAATCCATTTTTGATGGACGACAAAACCAAAGTTTAAATGCTTAAACAGCAGCTGACCTGAACATGAAGTTGAGGGCGGAGTCCTCTCGTCTCTGCTGTTGTCGGGTTCATGACAGGATCCTGAACACATCCAGTGCGAGAATGAAGGAGGAGTGACGGAACATATTTCCTATGTTTTTGTAGTTCTTTATCGGAAGGCCATTGTCCAAATTTGACTAACTCATCCATGTGAATGTTTGCTGCGTACCAGCACCCAGAAGACTAAAGGCTGTCTGGAAACGGCACAGAATTCTGGAGTTCTTTTTCTACCCACAACAGTGTTGACCCATGAATCTTAGTGTTGACCCATGAATGGTACCGCAACACGGGGTAGGAGCTACAGTTTTCGGTATTCAAATTTAGCATGTTTATGATGAGGAGCTGGATATGTAAATGGTTGGAAATTATATCTAAACAGGCTTTTTACTTTCTGAACCGGGACACTCACCTCTGAGGCCTATTCATGAAAAAATAGGATTAATTTTCAGTAACTCCACAAAACGGAGCTAAATGGATCCAGACGTGAATTAGAAAAATAGACCAACATAGGGAGTGCTACAACTAATGACTATTTTTGCTAATAAATTAATTAGATTTTTGATTAATCGATTAATAAAATTATAGCAAAACGTTCCTCAATAAAGAGTTTTTACAGAATCTAAACCTTCTAAAACTAAAATTTTATTCTTGAGGAGTTCTGTATACAGCATATTGACAGACAAAAACATTTTTTTTTTTATCTGAAATGCATTATATATTTTTTTTATTTTGCTATAATTGCTGCTTTAAGTGGATTCTTCTGTCAGCTGAAGACATGTCTTAGAGTCTCTATACTCCAGTTGATGATTCATTGATTAATCACCATTAACCCAATTAATCGTGCCTGAAAGTCTGCCCTGGACTAAAAACTCGTAATATATTTGAGTTTATCGAGGGCTTTGATACCCTAAATCTTTACAAAGCTGGGTTGCAATGAGTCATACATGAAAATAATTAAGGTTATGGCTCATTGAAAAAAGTAAAAACAAAGCAACAACTACTTGGACTAAGTCCAGCTATGGATTTTTCATCTGTTTATCTGTAGCATTCATGCAGTTTAAAGTGAACAAAAGCCAAGGTTGAAAATAACAAAGTAACATAATATTCCTACCAGGTAACCAGATTTGCTCTTTTAACTACATGTTACTACAGCGTCGCCTTTGAGCATATTGGAAACGGTAACAGCTTTTGATCCAGCCAAGTCGGGCTCCTACAGAGTTTTGCATAAAAGTGAGGATGGGCGTCACAATTCAGAGGCCACATAATTTATACGAATCTTGGAAAATGTTGCATCATGACCCGATTATATTTCCTTATCTTGTCCTTTATCATGTATATATGCTTTGACTTCACATAATAAGATTCCCTCACCTGAGCATGCTGGATTCTTTAAGTCTCATTTACATGTAGAAATCACACCTATCATTATGTACGATCACATCACTGTTACTCTTGTCTCTGTGTCTCACCGGTATTATGAGTTTTTTTTCTTAGTTTTAGTCTTTTTTTCATATTGTTTCTTTAGGGTGACTACCTCTTTCCTTCATTTTACCTATAATGCACATAGTGGTACACTTAGCTACATCAAAAGGGCACTATAAGGTCCGTTTGATTGCAGCTGACACAGCAAGGCAGTCTCACGTATTTTCTGATTAATGCAAATAAAATTAATTATTTTACTTATTGGTATGGGGTAAATTTACAAAAATTATGACGCAACTGCCGGTGCTAAGTGTAAAGTGTTCCCCATAGTACCACACTGTATATCTGAAACAATTCACATTGATCATTAACTAGGATACAATAGATTAATCATTATTGTGTCAAGGTTAGGAAAATGTGCTAAGAAACACAGGAATTAAGGTTGGACAAAACATGCCTCATATAATAAAGCAGCAGCAGGACAAGAAACAGAATGACAACTGCTTAGAAGTTCAGATAAATATTATACAAACTCCATTTCCTGCCAAAAGTAACAGATAAAGCTGTGAGGCACGGATCTCTGTATCCATCCAAGCTTTCTGACATTATTCTGCTCCATATATTTATGAGGCATAGACCAAAACCACATTTCATGTGGTCTCTTAAAAGCTTTAAAAATCATATAAAATTGGACTTGGCAAGAAACCCCGGGCCTAGCTTGTGGTTGAGGCTGCAGTATTTTGATGGACAACAATCTGGGTCTCTGGTTAAGTGTGGGGATAAGAAATAAACCAAATAAAGTCAAAGGAATGCACCAGCAGTTCCAAGTCAGACATTTGAGCTGCCAAGTTTTGCAGATGTTTATCAGTGCAACATTATATGTGAAGAGGCGTAACTAATTACTAAATTTGACGGATCTGTCAATAATTAAGACTTTTACACTCTTTAATTTAGTCATCCTCTAGTTTATCTTTTATGTTTAGCCGTTTTTCTGCCTTTTTGAATATAATCAGTGATATGAAAATGATAAGTTACAAGATATCTGCAAATGTGTCTTCACTATGCAGCCCTTATTCATGACAGGGACTTAAGAAATGTTTTGAGTAGTTTTTGCCGGCAGCAACTAGATGATGCATTGTTGGTTCAGGTTCAGAGTACAAGGGGGTTTGAGACAACAAAGACATTTCTGACAGCTTTGATTTCAGCAACTCTGTTTTTTTTTTAAAACAGAAGAAATATGATGAGGCTCAAAAGATCCGGCCTAAAGGAGTCTTCTTATGTTACTGAGCTAAAGCTTTCAGTTTTTTCTCCAGCAAGGACTAAACCGTCACAAAAGGGGGGGATGTTTTTGAAAAGCTACAGATGAAAGTGATTATTTAACTGAGATAAAGTTGATTAATAATTAAACGTTTTCTACGTAAAACCAGCTGATTGCATCGACTCAAAGGCAATCCCTCACACTAAGCATGCTTGTAGCGACAGTGGAGAGGAAAAACTGCCTTTTAAAAGGAAGAAACCTCCAGCAGAACCAGGCTCAGTGTGAGCGGCCATCTGCTGAGGCCGACTGGGGTTCAAGGAGACAGAAGCAGAGATATAAAAGGCAACTGTATACAGCTCCAATAAACACAAAGCCAGGCAGACAAGCTCCAAGCCAGCTCCCATGTCAGATGATGAAGAGAGCACAGCCAGCCAGAGAAACAGGAATACACTGGAAAAACAGGCCAAAATCCAACATCTATAGACATATATACCTCTGTTTTTAGTATAATCCAGCAATTAGTGCTGGAAGAGTGCTTTTAGACAGGGGTTCTGGTTCTGGTTTCTCAAACAGGAATGTTAAAATATATCTCCATTAAGTCCATTAACTCACAAAATCCTTCCCCTAATGTGCTAATCGCTAGCAAGTCATTTTCCATCATTTTACACATGGACATGACCTGGGGAGTTATGAGGCACTTTATTATATTTTTGCACAATTGCTGTATAAATCACCTTTATCATTTTTTTTTTGCTTGCTTTGGTTTGCAAAGTGCTCAAGCTCAGGATGGAAGACTGTATAGACATTGCAGATTTATGACAACAGTTTGGGTGAAGTAGAATTGAGGAACCATGTGGGAAACGGTTATATGGCTCAGCTGTGTCCTTTTATGGTTATGACAAACTAAAGAGGAGGCAGGCTGCTGCTGAGGAGAGGACAAGGAGAGAAGGAAAAGAAAGTTGGTTTAAAAGAAAGAATTAGATATTTTTTGGGAAACTGTCAGGAGGTAAGCAAGGATAATAAAGTCAACAGGGAATTAGAGGAATTTGGAGCAAGGGAAGGAAGAGGTAACACTGGGGGAGGGAAGATCAGAGAAAGTCATTCTAGTGTCTGTCAGAGGATGTTGGGAATGACAGCTTTGTAAGATGTGATAAAGTGTTTAAAAGGAATGTGGGGCATGTGGTGGGAGACTCTATGTATCCCCCTGAGGTCTTAGTGGGTCATTTCTTACAGTGGAAACGTTCTCATGAAACATAACACCACTTTACCTGTCCTTAATAACGCCCATCTTTTAAAGCTGAAAAATCACACTGTTGTTGCAGGATTAATGAGTCATTTGGCTCAATCTTTAAGCCAGTAATTATAAAACATGTTTGTAAAACAATTTTTTAAAAATAACTTTTTTTTTTTTTACAATTTAACCCCCGCATTGTGTTGTATTTGGACACAAACACAAGTATCACCCACCCGAACACACACAGGCCCCACAGTTTTTCCTTTAATGAGAGGATGCTATTCAGTTTGCTGCTCCGCTGGTTGGAAGGGCCTCTGTGTGGGAAGGTGAGCGAGAAAACTCAGCTGCACTGTGTGATTGTTCAGTTTGTTTTATCTGTTTAAATCCAAATGACACAGCCTGCTTTATTATCATTCTTCAAAGGTTCCATTTAATATAATCCAATTGAGATCAA